AGGTTTGACTTGCTGGCAGTTCCCCAGAGTTCGATGCCGTAAGTCCATGTTGGCTTGATTATTGTCTTTTGGGAGAAAAATTGTGAATACTAAATGAAGGACGAAATTTTACACGCCTATTCTCGTCGTCACATCTTATTACAATACTCAATTAGTTACCATACTCAGTCTAACGGCTTCATTTGGCAATTTTCCGATCTCGTATTGTAATCAAATGCTTTACGACCGTCAATAACCATTACCACTTTCCATTACTCAAAGCACTGCACGAGTTTCCATTGAAACTAAAATATTGTTACGGTAGTTCAAACGAGTAAGTTGTGACTACAAAAGTGTCAGGTATTGTATGTTCAATACTGTGAATGACGCTTTTGGTATGTGTTATTGTTTGATAATGGAGTTTCAGATTTGTTTAGAAATGGTTTAATTTCTTTTTCTGAATTATCTGAATGTAGCTTCTCAAGATATGAATTAGAAAGAGTATTAAATTAGAATTTAAAGGGGAACAAATTTTCCTTCAAAATATAGAACACTGAATCAAGCAGTCTTTTACAAATTATATTTTTCGTAGAATTTTGTACAACATGTTTCTACCAAAGGCTCTCTGAAGTATTTCTAGAATCCTAAAATTATATCCTGTTTAATATAAGAGGTTTGAAATAATTAATTTAATGATAAATTAATTCATTAATAATAACAAATTTTAATATGTATTTTAATTAATTTTATGAATTCTACAACTGGATTTTGACTGAATTTTATCTGGATGTTTCTGCATTTTGATTGTCTCATAAAGTGGACTTACAGTGTAATAATTCATTTGTGTCCTTTTCCACATACTCCTATCTCATTACATTTTTGCTCCTGTTTTTCAGCCAGAATGTTAGCCATTTGCTAAAATTAATATAAACGATAAATCAAACATCCATTTGTAAACTGTACAGTTCATTTAAATTTAAGCATATACTAACCAACATGGCTACCAGTACAGATACTATTGCTCTGCATTTAGTATAATAGGTAATGAAATAAGAGCAGGAAAGTGTGAATATTGTGTTGAAATAATGAAGGAATATCAAAAGGTGCAAGAAGTTTAGTCTTTCAGAGAAATTATACTCGTTGTACATAGTCTTGAATATGTTCTTCTACATATTCTTCAGAAATAATGTATTCTTGGAGGTTCAAATTGACATACAATGACAAGGAAGGGACTAAGTGACATATACAAGAAACAAGGGAAAATCAAAACCAATAGACAAATTAGAAAAGCAAGAAATCCCTGTGATTATTAACAAATTTATATTATACATGGAAAAAACACTAGTGGATACTCAAGAAGAATATGCCAATATTGAAGTGCAAAATAAATTTAATACACTAAGTAAGAAAGAGAAGAATTCCTCCAGGAAATCAAACTTGAGCAAAATACTTGTGATTGGTGATAGCCATGCACAGGGCATGTACAAAAACTAAAAAGCACTTACAACAATTTCAAATTTAGTGGATTTTTGAAGTCTTGTGACAGTTGAACAACATGATGCAAATGGAAAAGAAGGATAATGTAGTGTTTGAAGGATCAACAATTATCCACCCTTCTAGCAGAAAGAGGAAGCAGAGTCCAAGGTTGTTAGATTTTTTAGAGATGAACATGGCTCAGGTAACATATGAAACAAATTGAACATATTGCACCAAAATGTTCAATGTTTAGGAAATAAAAAACAAGACTTTACATTTGTGCTTGATGAACTATTTGACTTACTTCTAGTATGTATATCTTAGCATTGGCTTTAAGAAACAGATTTTGAGTACAGTCATTTTAAAATCCATTCCAGGAAGCAAAAAATAATGCTTCTAATGGAAGTATGCTAAGAGAACAAACAGGGTAGATCCTGTATATATGTTAATTCAAGAATCAAATAAAAGTATTTGAAGAACATTTTGAAGACAGTATGGCAGAATTAGTCAATTATATCATTATCATCTGAATTTACAGGAGTGCTAAATGGTCAGCCATTGATCAAATCATTCTACACCAAAATTTAATGAAACAATCATGTAACGTTATTGCTGCAGGTATCTCTAATCGCTATGCCTAAATATTATGAGTACACTCAGAATATATGTGTTAAAAGGATCAAAAAACAATTAAGGGTAATAAGGCCATGTAATGTTCAGAATCTAAACTAATTAAATTAAGTAATGAATTAATTAATTCACTAAGTAAAGAATTGTGGGAATCTGTTTTCACATACGCCTCAGAAAATGAATTAAACTAGGTTAAAAGCACTTTTCACTATTACAATGTGTCTCGTAAAAAAAAGGAAAAATTATCAGCCAGGAAAATAATGGGCAACTCTAGATATTCAAGAATCTAGCAGAAATTTAAAATAATCAGTAAAATTGTGAAAGAAGGAAATTGAACCGAGACATTCAAAATGTACAATTGTTACAAACAAAACTACAGAAGAGTGACGGGAAGTTAAAATTTTATTAAATTACAATATGTAATATTATAATAATGAAAAATGCAATTTGATAATAAGACAAAAGTAATGTGTTTCATGTATTTCCAGCACTGTAAACTTAATTATAAACTACAGAAAAATCTTTTCATTTATGGATTTTACTTACTTTTTTACAAAAAAGGACTGGAGTGTTTTTTTGTTTTACCTTTTCATATCTTTTAAATGTCCCACTTGTTTTTTTTATTTTGGGTCCTTCTGCACTTCAATAGGCAAGTTTTCTAGCTGAAAACACTTCTGGTTTTCTGAGATCATTTGCATTCTCTCAGCTAGTATCAAACACATCCTTGATTTGTCACTCATTCTTTTACATGATGAACTCACTGAGGCCCTTGACAATTTCTCAAAAAGTACAAGGAAGAACTAGTACTAGAATAATGCAAAATGGGAAGCGTCAATGCATTTTCAGGTCATAAAGACCATTATTACAATTGGCCGTTGTTCAAAATATCTAGTTTAATCTTTAAAATGCACCTGGCTCCTTAAAAGAGGAATCACTAATTACACATGTCTTGTGGAAAAATATATCAGTTTGACCAAAAATTGAGTATCCCTTTGTACAGGTTATAAAGTTTATTGTTTCTAACTATTACTGTGTTTTTCCAATGAACAATGGGGAGTAATGTAAATATTTTCCTGAAGTGGTTTTCTACTTTTCTATAAGTCAGAGAATTTGAGAGTAATAATTAATGCAAATATTACTGTATTTCATTAACATGAATATCTCTAACTTTTAATAACACAATAAGCTCCACTTGCCTGTTGTCTCATTATCTTGCTCTTGTATAAAAGTATGTGTCAAGGTAATTTCTTGAAAGAAATATTTTACACAATGAATTATTACATATTTATATTTCTTTAAATAACAGATGGGAACATTCATACATGGATATTTCAACAGCATTCACACAGAACAAAATTTAAATTTAATTTCTTATTCACACAAATTAACATCAAACTTATCTGTAAGTATTACCACTACTTCTACACCAAGTTTATAACTAAAGTCTGAATATGAACACATATGTTACAATGGTATTTAAAAGTACAAGCTTCAGCCATGGAACTGTATCAAATTAAAAATAACAAACAAAATGGTGAAAGGTTCAAATAAAGGAACCTGCTGTTTATCATTTGAACTGAGGTAGCTGCTTTTCCTTCAACAACCAAGACCAACTTTGCTCAAGTTCAATAGTCATGTACAAAAAACAATTTAATACCTAGTTCTTAAAAAATGAACAATTTATTAAAGATATTACCTCATACACTCACTTAACATGTTCTCACCTCATAAAATCAAAATAGTTTAAAAGATTTTTTGGGGCATTATTGACCCTCAGGAAAATGCCAAATGATTTTTCTACTACTAAACGCATGGTGTAGAGAGATTGAAATCAAAGAATAAACACAAAATGTGGAGATGTGAACCCATAAGAAATTTTTTTAAAAAATGCAAGAAATTTTGTTTCAAGATGAGCCAATCATTCTCTTTAATATCCATCAAATACAGTGTCTACGAAATAGTATTGTCAACAATGCAGTAAACTACACCTAAAATAGGTTACTTCTCATTTCCAATAAGTTACACATGTTAATTTTTAAAAGGAAGCATATGCAACACACTTGTTCCAAATTTCAAAATAAGCAAAAATTGTGATATCTTTGTTTAAAAGATTGAGCAATATTTTTTAAAAGCAATTTATTTTTAATCGTCACCAAATGAATTAATATAACAAACCCAAACAAATTGATTCGAAGCCAGAAGTGAAGATGAGAAGAGTCACTTAAAGAAAATAAAGTAGTCAATGGGAAATATGTTTCAAGAAGAGTAATCTTGCAATTTATAAATGTGTTTCAAAATAAAATTTAGATTTGCCATAATTTATCATGAAAAAATGTAACTATTGTCTGTTAACTGCAATTAGAATCTCAAAAAGCTATTCAAGTAAGCAAAATTCACATAGGCTTTTTCTGACTTAAGGAATAAATTTATGACAAAATACAGAAACTATTTAGCGAGAATGGTAAATAATTATGCCTGAAAATCATAGTTCCTCACACTTGGTATTTTATGAAAAACTTATGTTAAAAATATCTCCAGTACATGTATACAGTCCCTGGCTGGGTATTTTGTGTGAATAATAAGAGAAAAAAAAAAAAAAAACCTATTTTAAAATGTATGAAACTAAAAGTTGCTGGATTGACAATAAATGCAATGCATAAATAAATCTTTCAAATTTTTGGCATTGTTGTAACCCTCAAAATATTATAGTGTAGTTCTACTACAATTGATGAAAATTACTCTATCAAACTACATGTTCAGCCACTGTTGCAAAACAATGGTTGACTCACTTTAGCAGTCATTTGAGAAACTACAACAAATCACAAGGTCATTGGCACTATAGTTTCCCCTCTGGTCCTGTATACAACTGACATGTCACCTAAGAATGAACATTTGGGATATCATTTCCATATTCACATTCACATATTTAGAGTTGGCTTTACACATGTAATGTTCCTTTATCTCTTTAACTATCTTAAATAGACTGTGATGTCAGGCTTTCCAGTTTTCATTCAAATACTACAGCAACATGCATTAAGCTAAATTAAAGGATCTTGCATTACACATCAATTAGGAATCAAGGAGATCAAATGTTATGAAAAGGAAGAAACTTCCTAAATTGATGCAACTTCCATGGCTCTCTTTCACAGCTTATATATATACATTGTAGTTTGATTGGAAACAGACTTCAACAACTTTTACAAGTATTTTTTGTAAATAATCATGCCAGTAACTCCACATTTGAATTATTAAATATTCTGCAGATGAACCTTCAACCATAAACCCAAGTTTTCTAACATAACGTGATAATTAAAAACAAAAAATAAGAATTTAAACCTACAAATCTCTTGTTTAAGCTTATTGGTAACAGATGATTCATATAGTTCATTAGCACTCAAATCTTTTGAGTTCAAAATTTCATATGTATTTTTTCTGATGTCTTAATGAAACAGCAATGGAATGTGGCACATATATGTATATATTTATATATAATCTTTTTACACATTTCTATAATAATTTATATTTTCATTAATTTAAACTAACGTGTTATAATACAAATGTACAATACAATTATATCATGTGAGAATCCTGTGGAAATTCACCAATTACTCATTTGAAAACCAGAAAGCACTGACATTTATTTCAGAAGAGTTTTAACTCGTCTAAAATGTTATCACATATTTCACAAATGGTTACGAAGCAGTCTTATGCCTTTTCTCAATTATTTCTTGAAAATAGCAAGCTATATTATTTCTGTACCCTTCACATAAAAACTGAACTATGAATTTTAAACCAAAGAGAAAGTTCTAATAAACTGGGGCAATGTGGCTATTTTGGGATATGTTTAAAAACATGTTTTACACATCATACCTCACACAAACTTGAGGGTATTTTCTTAATATGTATGTTCTGTGTAGATCAAGTCACTCTGACATTTTATTTTCAAAGGCACAAGAGCAGATAAACAAAGATGTGCAAGATGGTCTTTGGGTAAGCCCAATGGTCATTGGGCAAGAAAAAATTAGTCTGAAATAAGGCAATTAACAATAAAACACTATTCAGGAATTTCAAAATCAAACCAAAAAGAGAGAAGATGAGAGAGAAAGAGAGAAAAAAAGGAAGAAAGAGAAATCTTGACAACTATATACCACCCCCTCAACTTGCCTCCATTGTATATTTTGAATCAGGAATACACACCCCTCAAATTTCTCCAGAACTTCTTTGTGCTAATATGTAAAATATATTTTTACATATTAGAAACATTTCAACGAGATATATAACTAAAGAACTTAGAAACAAAATTACCAAAATCAAATTTTAAAAATAGTTGTTTTAGAGAGAGAGAAAAAAGGGGGGAAATATAAAAATGTATTGGTATTTAGGTTTAATGACATTCAATGGCAAACACAGATTTTGCTTGTAAAATAAAACTGATGTATATTATATTTACAAAAAATTACATCATCAATACTATTTTTTCATAAGAGCACAAGGAATGAAATTCAGACTAAAACAAAACTAACATTTTATTATCTTATCTTCTTGTAATTTGAACTTTATTCATATAATTACTTTTCACAGCTTACTTTCTACTTTCTTGCAAAAGTAAAATAGTGTGTTCTAGTCCTCTCTTCACTTATCAAGCTGAGAATAAAACTTGATTTTTTTTTTCCCTTTTTGCAATAACTTTAGTTCCATGACACACATTAACACTGGCATATAAAACCATCATCATAAAAGCAAATTAATAGAAAAAAGCATCTAACTGTCATCGTTCGTTCTTTCAATATTTCAAATTTGTTTTTCAAACACACACTGCATATAAGTACCATTCAAAATGCTTTTAATATTATTTTCCAATTCAAGAAGAGAACGTTAATGTAAATTTAGTGCATAGAGGGTCATACGACGTGAAACGAACTGAAAAATTAAGACAGAGCAAGATGAGGAAAGCATCATTGAACAGATTCACAAAGTTAGAAAGAATTAGAATATATCAAAGAAGTAAACTTTTGTAGTAAAATCATCCTGATATCCCAGTAAATAACACGAAGAAAAGTTTCTGTGAAATATTTATTAACATAATACTTTTAAGTTTGAATCAACTGTTCGTACAGTTCATTAGCCCTAAAAAACTGAATATAAGGGACATAAATTTGAAAATTTAAAAAAGACAATTTTAAGTTTTGTGCATGTTGCTTCAATAACAGCAGTTTCTTCATTGATATGGTATTCCAGCTGGAAAATCCTCACTTGCTCTACAAATCTGACTAGCCTCAAAAGCAACAGAGACACTTTTCTGATAATGATGAACCCAAAGTTTCAACTCCATTAGAAAAGTTTACTTAAAATATTTATGAATTTATTAGAATTCACAAAGCATTGATATACACAAGCAGATAATGAATAATTACACTTCTTATTGAAAAATTTGGCAAAGTCATAATTTTGTAAAAAAAAAAAAAAAAAAAAGGCATTCACACAATTATCAGCAAAGTTCTCTGCTCTGAACTGTTCTGTATTCTGAACTGTGCTTGTAGCAAATCCTTCAAGCAAGCTGAAAAAACTTATCAAAATATGAAACCCAAGGAAATTAAATAAAGTAATTTAAGACAAGAAACATTACAGACCTGTTCATTTTAAGTGTTGGTTTCTAAATGCAAGTTAAATCAGTGAAAAACTTTACTTTACTTTCTATTCCAAGTTAAAAAATAAACAACAATGATAGAGGATTCATCAACAGTTAAATAAGGGAAATAAGGCTCATTTCCTTCCCAAGAAACAGGTGTAAATCACAGCCATCAATATAATCTTACGGAACAGAAATCAAATTTCAACAAAATGAGGGAGCCAGATATATGAAAATGGGAGGACAATTATTAAGTTATTTTTTGTGTGAGTGCTCCATGTAATCTCAAATGAAACTTCATTTATCCATTAATGTATATTCATTTTTGTAAGACTTAAAAGAAATGTAATAACTTTTAGCGAAAAATTGTCAACAACTATCATGCAAGAAAAATATAACGAGTGTGGAACACTGTAGTTCAATAGAAAGTAGGAAAGAATGAAAATATAATATAATAAAATAGGAAAGAACAGTTCAAACACTTGCTAATATGTATAATAATAAATAGATGTGAGCTATTAGTTACTGAACACAAAAACAGCAGTGGTTGACAATTGACCATGTTCTGACATTAAATACAATATAAAGAGAAATATAATATGATCTGTCACAAACACAGTTCAAAACTTTTAGCAAACCACTAGTTAAACATACAAAAGAACTTAAAACAAACTACAATGCGAGATCAAGTGTATTGATAAGTGCTCGAGCCAGAGGTTACTATACAAAGCACTGTAATTTAGTGCTATTTATAGGATCCAACTGTACCTGATACCAGCTACACTTTAATGCACATTTCACAAAATCAATGAAATAAGTTTCTAGAAGTAAATAACCGAAACTGAATTAATTTAAATTTCACACTTCATCTTTGGCTACCAGTTATTCCTAAATAATTGACAATGTTACATAGATAATTTTTATGTAAATGAACATTCTGCATTTTTGAAGTGGTTCTAGCATTGCTAATATCAAAGTCATCTCACACTTTTTTATGTTTCTCCACCCTACACATTTCAGAACACTAACCAAAGATCTGAGAGTTTTACTCAGCCAGTGGATTCAATTCTACATACCAGGTCAAAATTGCTTCAATCTGGTGATATAAAAGAGTTGAAGGAAAAACCCAAAGTAGCAGTCACAAACCACATACAATGGTTTAAGTTACAAAAAATACACTATGGCACAGTCAAGATAACAAAAGGAGCAACCAATAGGGGGGGGGGGGGGGAGTACACCAATAATTATATAAATTACATAAACATGAACACACAGAAATGTAACGACTTCAAAAATATCATAACACAATGAAACTTTCAACAGTAATGATCATTCCTTTAAATTTTGGCAGTGGATTTGCTTCATAAGAAAACAAGAAAATTCTTTTGCAGTTGTGAAATCCATTGCCCATGTCAAACACAAGCACACCTGGAAAGTAGCGTGGCAGCTTTTTGGCAGTGATAAGTTTTGTTAAAATTCAGTTTTGCATTTCACAATTTCTATTTAACATACTAACTATAAATTAAAGGTTAGTTGTTTTCTTGGCTCACGTATTCAACACATACACACAGTACCATTCATTTTTAAAAAAGTGTCACTACAAAAAAACCTATAAATTTTTTTAAGACTTTCATCTTTTTCTTGTCATCACTTATATCATTTATACATAAATAAAGTATTCAATATGCTTGATTCTAGAAACAGAATATTACTTTGCTTCCAGAGTGGTCGGGTGTTTAACAGAAATAACAAACTAGATAAAACAGCACGTGAGTTTTTGTAGGAGTGTATTTTGGGCATGGAAAGGGAAGGGCAAGTAACACTCTGTTTCAGCTATGAGATGATTATAATAAATATGCATTTGAACTACACACACTATGCTATGATCAATGATACGTGACATTATAGTCCTAACTCAAGAAGAGACTGACATTCCTTCCATCACGCTGCATCCACTGACCAGTGCCGTGCTATCCACACTTGCACCCGAAACAAACGGAGCAGAGAATGAAAGAGAAAAGAGAAATATTCACTTACATCTGTATATACAATGCATTCACATTTGGCAGTGTGACAGTTCAGCTGGTTGTATTTTCCTTGAAAAGAAGGTAGAGCAAGAGAAAAACAGGGAAAAGGGGGAATACATCAGCATCCATCTCTTTAAGTTGGGCATTTTCTCTCTTTTTCTCAACTACTTACTCATATTCAAGGTTCTTTTCACAACAAGAGAGCCACTACAGAATACTACTTGCTAACTAACTTGACCCTGTCCAACTATGTACACGTTACACATTCAAAATAACCTTACAAGTTCAAAAGCACAATCCTTGTTCTAGTTTTATACACAGTTTATCATCTTTGGATTCCATGAAATGGGAATGAACAGCAAATATCTTGACTCCATCTTCATGCCGCTTATTAGCAGAGGTGTCTTGAAGGAAATGAAATGCAACATATATATATATTCTTGTTTTCTCATCATGTACATAAATATAATCTTCATTTCTCATTTCTTTCCTATTATCATTCATCCCCACCTCTTCCACAAGATGCATAAGCACTGAATGTGGAAAATATACAAACAGTAAGTAATAAGTTTCTTATCAGACAATACAAAATCCTTGAATGAGGAGAATGTACAAGACTGATAAAATAACTTCTATAAATTACTTCATTCAAAATAGACTGTCTTCATATTACATTATTAATGTCATAATAGATGTGTAGAGACAAGAAGCAGCCATCAGGAAAGAATACCATTTTGGAATTTTGGAAAATTCTCTCTTAAATAAAAATGACACAATGCAAGCATTTGGAGTTCACGACCATATTAGTATTATTCTATTTTGCGGCTGCAAACAATTTCCAACATAGCTATAAACCAGGTCTTCCACTCAATTTCTTTCACAAATTCTCGTGTCTAGTGTCAGCACATTATTCATTTACTTTGGTATCAGAATCCATTAAAATGATCTGGACTTCTGTAGGGCACAGTCTAGAACCAACTCTACTCCCCCTTAAAAGAAAAAAAAAACTAAAAATTAACTTGATATTTCTTTTAGTGTTTTAAGAGATCATACTTTTGACACTGGAATTTCCAGCAGTTCTTGAGCTTCTGCACTCTTCTTTTCTTGATGCGCTTATTTTTCTAACACCATAACAAAGAATTCTGCATAAATTCCCCACACAAACACGTATATTGCTTGCACGATTTTGCATCACAAATGAGATTACAGGCACATTATCATAAGGAAATTAGGTTTCTGACACCATTTTATACAGTGTTGTACTTTCTTTATCCCTTTACAAATAATCAACAACCAAACACATCTAGTAAGCAACAGTTTTGGCAGAATTCTTAGTCATTGTGCATGTTAGCATCAAAAGCCTCAGGACTCACTACTGCCTCCAGCAAGAAGTCTTATTGAGATGTTATCAAGTGATGTTATCAAAATGTGTTTTCTATAAAATCTATACACAGATAAAATTGTGGTCATACAAGAGCACAAAATTGATACCAATTTTGAAATCATTAGTTCACTCTAGCAATCACTCCTAAGCAAGAGTTACCAAAATCATATCAAGTCATTTAAATTTAACAGGATTTTAAATTTATAGCCAATTGTAATGAACAATAAATGTACATCACGGTGATCTCCTCTATAATATGTCTTGCCAGAGACAGGGAAGGAATACAACCTAATCTTTTATGATGAGCTTACAAGGAAAGTCTAGTAGGTCCCAGAGCCTGAAATTTTTACCCGTTTTACAATTCAGTATGCATAGTGCACATAAAGACACTAAAGGGAATTATGAAAGCACCATGTGCAACTAGGTGCATGTGGCATGTTCACATAGTTTCATTCCCTTGATACAGAGAATCACATTTATAGAAGAGAATACTCAATTGATGCTGCATTTGTGCATAAAAAGCTAAAACACAGTTTTCAAAAGAAAATATTTCCTCTTCAACAAGGGTTCACACATCTATGAAATACTCTTGAGGGACCCTAAATGCTTTCAATTATAAGCTCAAATGATAAACTAAGAAGAACAGGATGGCAAGCATCATGATGCTGGCTTGCCCGCTTTTCGTGGCCTTCGCCTGGTAGTGGTAGTGCTACTACAGCTGCTACTACTACAGCCTGGACTGTTGTCACTGGTGACATTGATACTAACTGAGCTGCTGCTGTTGCTGTTATTGCTGCTACTAGCACTTGAGAAGAGGACACTGTGAATTGGATCAACTGCTGAGGAAGTCAGTTGTCTGATGGGAACTGTTTGTGTTCGACGCACATCTGTTTCCAGTACCCATTCATCATCCACACTAAAAAAAAAAAAAGATGATAATAGTAATACTAATAATAACAACATACATATCCAATAATGTCTACTGATTACACATGTAATCTCCTTCAATCCCAATCCAATAAAATCTTAAGAAATATATTAAACCATTATTTTTTAAATCATTTGTGGAATTATTGACATAGTGAATTATTTATCATTGTAGAAATGAAGTTCTCTTCCTTTACAAACATCCAAATGCGCAATTAAAAGATACAAATATGACTTACATGTCTTCAGGGTACCATCTCAGTAGTACTTTTGTTTTCCCTGAAGGTTCTACACGACGAGCCATCACCTATACAAGAAAATGTAAATAAATATTTTTCCAGAGTTTTTCAAACTCACTTGCTACATCACACATGAGCATGTGGAGTGACTATTATTAATTTAAGTACATACCTTGCTGTGCAAAGAAATAGTGTTCCCGGGTGCTGACGCTACATCTCCCAAGGTCCTCTTCTCAGTCATATTCATCAGGCGATGCTGCAGCCCCTCCATTATCCCAGAATCGAAGTAATCAAACATGCGAGCTGAAATAAAACATTAATATATAAGAGAAATGCCTCAAGGAGAAAATATTGAATGTGGTCGGTAAAATCAAGGAAACTTTTGCGCTTCATTCTAATGAAATAACACATTTGCAAAAATATCTAGTGGAATCTAATCTTATCTTCATCTTCAGAATTATCAAACTGAATTTTCATGTAACTATTATATCTGCACTAAAATCTGATGAAAGAGTCAAATCAGAAGTCTTTGATTCGCAGTATAATTGTTTGTTAATTTACGAAATGTTTTTGGTCCAGGAAGTATTCTTGAAGATGAAATTTTCATGAAAACAATTAAATCCTACAAATTTAGTGAGTTCACTGAATACAGCCAATGTTCTTGCCAATGTTATAAATCCAATTTTTTTTCTTTTCTTTTTTTTTTTTTTTTTAAATATATATATATAGAAAGAATCCACTATTAAGTACTTATGATATTTTAAAGTACACTTCACAATTAGCATGTTCAAATAATTGTAGAATTGTTCAAAGAGAGTTTTCTTAATATTCTACAATACGTACAATGACTGATGAATAGAAGAGACTTTAATAAAAAAATGTTTAAAAAAAGTATAAAAATAATAGGAAGCAACACAATTATTAAATTATCTTCTTCCGTCAGGACTTCTTTCCTTCCTAGGTTCTTCAACAGGATTCAGTTTCACTACTTTGGGGAAGGATACTGATGCACTGGCAAAATCTTGGTGATTTGCAGTTGTTTTCAAGTCACTTACACAACACTTCACATGGTCTCGAAAAAAGGTCACTTGTTCCAGCATGGATATGCCAATACTTCTCAGTATAGAAGAAATAGAGGATACATATGAAAGGTTTAGAGAAGGACAGAACAAAATTGTCAATACTAGAAACTTAAAGAAGTGTAGCTGAAATCTAAATGAATGGGACATCTATCAATGAAAATTCCCTAAAACATTGAACATTAATATAATACTGAATAGAGAAATAAAAAGTTATTTAGGTCACCCCTCCACAGTGGATTTATGATAATATTTTAAAATTTAATTTATGGGACAATTTAAGATTATCATTGAAAAAATGTCTTAAAAATCGAATAGTCAACACCCTTTGAAATTAAACAAATAAAAATAATAAGATCAAACTGGTCTAGGATTCCAAGTATTTCAGGATAGCCATGGAAGGATCATCAAATTCTAAGAAGTATTGGTACAGCCAAGTCTCTTGTTTTCGCACATCATGTTGAACAACATAATCCAAATAACAGGTTGTACCCTTCAACAGTCAATTGAGCTATCTCAGTTTCAGAGCTAATCACCTCCCTGGCAGCAAGTGAACTGCAAACTTAAGATGCCAATTCAAAGTGATCGTGGAACAATCTTACCACATCATGTTGTACATCCTGCTATGGCAAAATCAACGACCTATGCTGGAACCAGACCAATAAAAAGAGTGCATTAGAAATTAGACCAAGAGTACTTTGGACATTATTGACAGTATTGTAATGAAGAGACAGAACCATCTTCTCGGAGTGCCAGTGATGCAAATGTAGGTTTCCACATTAGTGGTGACAGTGTCAATCGTAATATCTTACATTCATGTGTTTGAAAGTGCTATAATTGGCATTATTAAAGAAAATAAAGAAGATTTTTTTTATGCTTTAAATACTAAACTTTTACATAAACAACTCATAGTATGAACCTTTAAAACTTTTTATAGACTTTTTGCATTGTTTATTTATTTGTTTCTCTCTCCCTTTCTGTGTCACCACCAACATGCCACCCCAAATAAGAGCAAATCTGGTGTGAACAGTACATTCTCTTGAAGCACTTAATGTCAACTCGACTCACACCAATAAATAGTTACACATGTTAAAAAAAATCTTCATTTCCAAGCTGCTTGGGAATCTGTGGCAGTAAGGTATATTAATACATATACTCCCAAGCTTGCCCCCACATAAACCCACACAATATCCTATGAAATATTCAGGACATTGGATGGGATAGATTAGGATACAAACACCAAACAATTGAACTTGTGTTGAAGCATTAGCTTCCTTTTCAAGACCAGAAAATTTGCAATAGTAAGTATTCTGATCAAATTATTAAAAGATTAAATTTGCATACTGGCACATATGCACATACTAATATATGTGCATATTCATAATAATTTAAGTCCTACTTGAAGAAAGTATGGCATTAAAACGAAAGTATGGCATTAAAACATCTACAAACCTATTTCCTATTCCATAAAAAATATAAACTATTTCCTATTCCATTTCTTTTCAGGAAAAAATAAAAAAGCCCAAGAAAACAAAGCAAGTTCTTTACAAGCAGGAATACCAGTAATAATATTATTATTCTCCAAAGGTCCATTAATTTAAGCAGAAATGTGCTTCAGAAATTGAAGAATATCCAGATAGATTCATAATAGAGTATTGAGATTTTAATATCCACCCTAATCTACAAAAGCAAAGGTTTGTTGGGGGGGTTAAAACAGCTGGAGTATACTGTTAGCCACATTCCCTTCTGCACATCACCAACTTATTATGAGGGGGGGTGTCTTTCTTCCGAATACCCAGGGGCTAGAAGTGTTCGCAATAGGTTAGCGTAACTTTCAACTTCTTATACACATGAAATTAAGTATTACATTACTGGCATTGACTTTCATACCAGTTCACATAAATGAATGTAAAAAAGAATTCACATTCATCAATGAACTTACAATTTGCTGGAAAGTGAAAAGGATTCACAAGGACTACAGGCAGAGAAATGAAGCAGCAACCCAGAATGCTAGTTTGAGATGTGTCGAATGAAAAACTTAACAAAGCTTAGAAGCATTGTGAAATGCTACATGCAAATTGTACATCACCATCTACACTAACCCTGTACTGCACCTCTGGGTAGTGTTGTATGCTAAGGACAACTCTTAAGGTTGAAATTACTACCTTGACCTTGCCAATATTTGGAAAGGATGATAAAAATGAAAATGATACTCTATTACTGAGTTTTCTCTCCAGAGTGTCTCACGCTGACAAGTACTACCAAGACTTGATGTTAGCTTCACTAGCAATAACACAAGTCACAGGAATCTGTTAAGTGTATTCTTGGATTTGGAAATGCAGGTCTTCATAATATTAAATTAGTAGGTTTAGCATGCAGTTCCATGGAATTACTACTACACCAAATTCATACTATTCAAATTTACAATGTTTTCAAAACTGAAGTCATTTTATCATAACTTTTGAGATTTAAATTATGCAAATAAATGAGATCCAAAGTGAAGAAAGAGACTTCATAATTTCTTTCCGTAATGTGTTAAAACACTGTAAATCATAAACAACTTTCACAAAAGAGAGGAATTAATAAATATAAAATAGAGAAAATTGTACCTGTTTAGAAGGAATTGTGGCCCTTAGACTGATCTTAGAGAATTATAAATTATTGCACCATTAAAATCTAGGTATAATATTGATTTCCCACTTATATTAATTATTAGTAAGTTAACCTTAATTCTCACCTGTAGCGCATTTCTGTGACATTTTCTACCAAAGAGATTAAATTCTATTGACCGTCTCAAAAAGAAAAATGATGATCAGACTTTCAAGAATATTAATGAAATGACGTTTATTGAAATTTAAGTATTTTCTCAAAAATTGAATTACTTGGAATGAAGAATTTTGTCTTGATTTACGTGTCAGCATGAAAAACCTCTAGAGAAGCTGAAAAAAAAAAAAAAAGAAGAAGAAAAAATGGCTGGACTTTATCCCAGAACAGATATCCCTACCTGACCAAGGTTGCCGACGGAGACGCAGCCTCTTGCCGTTGCGTCGGAACATTTTGTTGGTAGAATTCTCCACACTCCGACGGGTGCTTGTACTGCTGCTACCTCCTTCTGTCTGGTTGAAATGACTATTCACATGTCGCTCCAAAGTGGTCTGGAAGTATACGGCCAAATTACAATGTGTCAAAACAGAAAATAAACTAATGTACTTCCATGTCTCAAACTCACCTGTGAACTGAACCGTTGTCCACAGCCATCCACAATACACCTGAATGGTTTGTTCCCTCCATGACTTAAAACGTGTCGTTCCAGCCATGAGCGAGAGCATGACGTCCGAGCATACACTTTACAGCCAACCCACAGGCACACGAAAGTCTCACACATTCCTTGTGTGTTAACATGCTTTGCCTAATAACAATCAAGAGAAAGCAAGTAGTCACTAAGACATTACTAGTTAAAAACAACTATGTGTTACTTTTCAATAATGCAATGTTCTTAAAAGGACATTTATATATTATGGTTCAATTTAAATACAAAGAATGTGTATCATTACATATATAGTATCATCATATAAGAAATTAGACACATACTACCTACAGTTATTTATGAGCAATTAGTGAAAACCATCTTGAATTAATAAATTAATTAGCATTGTGTAAGTTCAAATGCTATTGAGAAGTGCATATCATATTCAAAAGTATATAAGAAAAAATAGGATGAAATCAAAAATGATCAAATGACATGAGCCGCACTGAATGAAAGTCCACATACCTGCAAATGTTCCAGAAGAATTGTGCTTGATTCAAAATGTGAATTGCATTCAGACCATCGGCAAGTTGTACTGTCAGACTGATCGATTGTCGCACTCTTAGACACATTTGATTGGCTGCAATCTATCGCAGGAAAACGAATAGTCCTTGGCACAGATAGGATGGGAGAAGGGAGAGAAGAGGGAGCTGGGCTAGAAGAAGACACCGAAACTGACAAACCACTATCACTAGCGATGGACGCAACAGATTCACTCTGATCTCCTGAAGTAGATACTGCAGAGTCTTCCAGAATAGAGGACGCTTTGCCAGCAGGTGTGGAGCTTGCCAGAACTTCCTTTTCTAACAATACATCAGTTTCTTCCATGGAATCAGGCTTTGGTACATTGCACACAACCTCACTCACTTCTGGTGTAACTAGTTGACTTGTACAAGATGTACTCTCAGGAAGATTAGGTGAAAAAGTGGATGGAGAAGATGAGTCATTTTGTGTAGAAGGGGGAGGCAACAGTAAAGAAGTCAATTTCTGGGACGACAAAGATGGCGAGACTAATCCGTTCTTCTTCACCTCTGGAATTTTCAAAGTTGTCGCTGGGGCAGGCAGCTCTTTATGTGCAGGAGTACTTGCAGCGAGATTGATCTTTTCATTTACTTTCTGAGCAGTTTTTGTAGACCTGCTATTACAGTCTGTAACATCACACTTACTATTCCATGAGAGAGTCTGAACAGAAGTAGCAAGAGGCAAGTTCGACCCAACTAAATCCTTTACTTCTGGCACCTTCAAAAGGGGAATTGTGGTAGCTGGTTGTGTCCCTGAGTTAATATTGAAGTATTTGTCCAATCCCCCTGAAGAATTTCTGTCAGTCTTAACATCAGATGCACTCTTCCTGCATACCATCTGACTCACGGGGCTCCGAAACTCTGAAGAGCCCGTTTTAGCAGCTAAGTCTTTTTTCGCACCGTTCATCGGCTTCATCTGAGTCTTGAAATACTCGGTGATTTTGCCCTGTTGCTGCAACTTGGCGTGCGCGGCCGCGTCAGTCTGTAAGATGGCCCCTCCCAAAGACCGCCCCTTCCCGTCCCCCTTGCCGAGCTTCGGGCACTGCGCCTTCGGCTGGTTGTGGAGCGCGCTGCAACACCTCTGCGGCTGGTGCCGCAGTGCCGCACACAGACTAGTACTACTCTTCGCATTGTTGTTGTTATTGTTGTTGTTGTTGTTGGAGAGCCCTGTCTTAGGGGATGGACTGTGGTCCAGCTTAAGCCTCTTGCTGCTGGGGGACGTGGCGGGAGAAGCCTTGTTGGCCGCTGCAGTCTTATGATTCACTATGGCAGTTTGTCGCTTCAAGGACTTTGGGTTCATGTTGGCAATGACGTTGCTGGCAGTGACGGGTGTCAGGGGGGAGGGCGGCGGCGGCGGCGGGCCGCGCTCGGCGCCGCCCCACGCCCAGCAGTGCAGCGCGTCGTCGCGCTGGTCGGAGGGCACGTTGGGCGCCATGAAGAAGGGCTGCAGGACCACGACGGCGGCTGGGTTGGGCGCGGGGGAGGGCCCGTGGCCCGGAGCGAGGGGCTCCTCCGCCGCCGCCGCGGCCGCGCCCGCGCGCTCCTCGCCGCCAACGCCCCCGGGGGCGGGGCCGGGACCGGGGCCGGGCCCGGGGGTGGGGCTGGGGGCGGCCGCGTCGTCGCCGCTCTCAGAGTGCGACGAGTGGGTGGAGGTGGTGCTGTACGGGGACCCAGGGTCGGTGATGTCACTTGTGCCGCTGCTGGACGACGCCGAGCAGTCGGTGCAACTTAGGACTGCGACACCACTGCAACACACAAACAACATCATTTACTAACACCATCAGCAACAGCAACAATATAATACTACTAATAATATAATATAATAATACTAATACTAATAATGCCTTTACTGAGTGGCGAGACTAGAGTCGTAAGGTCTGCCCTAACTAATTGTAATTTAAAACCGTCAAATACAAAACGACCGTGTCTTGTTTTGTTGGTTTTAAAATCGTTGATAAACTCAGTTGATCATCGTTGACTTACAGACAAATACGTCAAAGTTATTCGACTTGAACATAATTAATACCTGCCTCCCATGCCCAATAAAACTTTTTAAAAATTCACCCTCCTAAACTTCCCCTAACATTAAACAAGTATACACACTAATATTAACTGTAATTCATGTCGCATTATGGTTAAAAGTTTTCAAGGCAGCACCGACGCTCGCATGCCATCTGGACAATATCCAATGCAGTGCTTAATTAAAAACCGTAGGTCGCCTATCCGTATAAATGGTACTTTATAAAGTTCATGAAACAATAGTGCACATAAAGAAATAAAAGATCTATTTTTTTATAAAACTTCCAGTTTATTTTCAAACAGTGCAACTCAAGAGTCTCAAAATGATGCAATGAAAGTGAAAAGGCGCTCTGATATGTGAAGCATTATAAAACCGCTAGCGTGATGACACGTTGCAATTTGATGTTCGAGGGAAGCGTCAAGTAGCTCGTGAGGAACGGAAGTGGATGTGGATGTGGAAGAAAGCGGCAAGGCCCGCGAACGACGGCTTGCGACATGTGCTTGACATTGTGCTACAAAATATGCTCTCGGGATTTTCAAGCAGAGGCACCGGCTATGATGGCCTGCTCGCAGTAACGAGTCCGCGACGAAAGATTCGTAGACCGGGGGTTCTCATGTTCGAGATCAGACTGCTCTGCGCCATCGTTTCCGCGGCTTCTCGCCGCCGGTTCCGCTCGGACGCCCGACCAGTGCCTCACCCTACTGTCTCATCATGGCCCCACTCCCCTCCTTAGGGCAGAGCGATGGGTTCATACCCCACCCTTGAACTGAGCAGCCCTCTTGTTGTAGGAATTTCCCGCCGGGATGTCGGAAATGTGCCCTCGCCTTTCCCTCGAAAGTTACACTTATCTCGACGGGAATATTCAACCACACAAACTTTCCACAAAAATCTTCCCTTCATGAATCCTCTTCCCTTCGATGATTTACTTCTAACCGAGATATGGGGTTTTCTCGTTCTTATTGCTTTAGACTTCCATTGATTTGACGTTTCATTTACCTCTGATCGTGTTTATTTTCCACCCAATTCAAGATATTGTTTTTAAGAAAGAATATTCTTGCATTTTCAAGCGAGAAAGTTCGTGCAGTCACTGAACTACTGGTTTAAGTAGCCGCCAACGAAATATGTTCCAAAACAAACAGTCCCACACGCCCCATTTTCAATATTGGGCTGAGCCCTACGCGTCATGCAAGAGAAATTCCAGTGCCTAAGAAGAGACTGTTGCACTTTACGGGCTCGCGTTCTACGGTCAACAAACTCTAGGGAAGGTCGCACGCATTGTTGGGTCTTTGAACTATACGCATCTTTTTCTTCCTAGCCCGCCTAGTCACCGCCGCTGCGCTCCTCGCCTCCCAACACAAGAAGAGGCACGCGCGCTCGTGAGCGAGCGAGAGAAAGAAAGAGAGAGAGAGAGAGAGAGAGAGAGAGAGCAAGAGAGAGCGACGATGCACCTCGCGGCGCGGCGTGGAGCGGAGCGGAGGCGCACGCAGCGGGCCGGACGGTGCTGCGCCGCGCGGTGGCAAACTGAACTAACGGGGTTATCCAATCGTTACGGCAGCGTCGGGTGGGGAAGAGGCCTTGAACGCTATTTGCATGGGGCGACGGGGCGAAGGGACGGGAAAACGCGCGGAGAGGACGGGTCGGGAGGGGAGAAGACGAGTCGGGAACTAGGTTTACGTCCGCTTAAAAAAAGAGAATCGGAAAAATGTCGGGTGGTGAGCGGGCGGGCGCGGCGCGGCGCGTGTATCGTAGGCGGGGCGGGGCGGAGGATCCGGCATTCCGAGCGCGGCGGCGCAACGCGGCGCGACGCGACGCGGTGCTGCCCGGCGCTGCGAGCGGCCGCGAGTTCCCACGCCCGCTCGCCCACCCCACTCGGCCACAGCAGACGGACGTCTCATGGCGCTACTCCCACGTCGTCGTATTCACCACGCGCTTCATGCCATATTTCAGAGGGCACTACCAAATGAAAGGTTCGCAATCGGAAAAGGGTTCCTTTTTTTGGGAAGGTTTTGTCAACACTAAGAATAAACCAATGCAACAATTTACCCTAACAACATTCTCTTCGAGTAAGTTATCCCCAATTGCATCGACCACCACAAACGTTTCTTGAAAAATGATTGCCATTCTGTGTAAGTGCACACAAGTATCTTGAACGCTATTTGCAAGGGACGACGGGGCGGACTATGTTAGGGATTCCTACTTACGAAACTCGAGCATTCAAACGAATTAAAACAATTGAATGAAGGACATATCGTTTGAAAGGAAATTCCTTTATTACAATGTCACCAATAGTGATGTCCATAACACAAGAATCCAATACGTCTCATTGTAGATAGATCAAAGCAGCGTACAAGCGCATGTTCCTAGAATCTTACTTGTCAAGACTCAGAAAATCTGCATGGCGGAAAGGCAGCACTTGATACATTCTCGGCTACATCACATGCCCAGTTTTCCATACCTCGTCCAAAAGTATTCAATTCACACAGTAAAACCAGCTCCGGTGAGGATTAAATCACCCAAGGACGATCTCCAGCGTTAAAAGTCTTTTTACTAGACCTCAAAAGATTAAACTCCTCCACACGTAATAACAAGGATAAACTTCAGATTTTGTTGCGTAAAGACGAAGTTTGCTAATTCATTAGTTAGCTTCTTTGTTGCTTCGAGTCGCAAAATGTGAGGGCTATTAAAAGAAGAAGAAGAAGAAACGAATTCCTAACAGTGAATGGCACGTTATTTTCCAGGACAATTGAGTGCTACTCCACATTAAGGATTTCCAATCGTTTTCTTTCAACCCTTTTTAAAAGAATGGTGTGCATAATCGATTCTTCATAGTTTTCAAGCATACAACATAATATAACAAATACCTGTCCATAAATGACAAAATTAACAATTAGTAAAATAATATTAACAAGATATTTTAAAAATTGTTTATTAACATTTTATAATTTTTTATTGTACTATTGACATTTTCAACTTTTCAAATATAAGCAAGGTTTTAGAAACATCATATATTCTAATTAATGTTAGATTTTCATTAATGTGAATGATATGTAATTCCAAAATAACGGTGAACCCCAAAATGTATTTCTTGATCTTGTACAACTTTATATTCGAAAACAATTAATAAGCATTTTTTTGTAATCATAGGGATCTTGATTCTGTTGATACCGATCAGTTCCCGGTGCATATTCGGCAATCAACCCTGAATCACTGACTTTTCAAAATTTCATCCACTCCATTGAGAGAACCTTGCTGTGCATCATCATCAAGTTATTGAAAACAGCAAAGAACTTCAAGCAGAAAATACTCGGCGGCGGCTGCTCGTTAAGGACTCGGCGGCGGTACCCTCCCCCAAAAGCGTCAAGTTTCGGGAAAAGTTGCAGCAAGTATTTAACTTCCACTACATCGACTCGAATTTGCGCATATCACGAGCGCAAGTTTTGAGGGCGAATTTAATTCCATGTGCCGGCTTAAGCGAATAATCAATGTGTTTTAGAATGGACAGCATCGCGGACTATAGCGTTGCCGTCCGTAGCTGGAAGCAGAGGAAGAGAGGGGGGTACTGGAAACTGGGTGGGGACAGCGTGTTGCTATCAGGGTGTGCTTCGACAGAGACCATGCCTATTAACTAAGCTAAGAATACCGTCTCTTTTATCTCATTTCATAAATTACTTTTGTTCTTGCTATAGTTTCAACCTATTTTCATGAGCACATTGTTTCTTCAGTTAGCACCGTACAAGTTGTCTTAGATATGGGTTACAAATGCGTTGCTTGTAATTATGCCGCATTCCGCATGCAATAGTTTGCCCTAGTCCAACAAATATTCTGAAGAGCCAAAAAGTATGCGATTGCCCGGAGACACCTGCCCCACCTTCTAATTCGCGACTCAGCGACCGTCACTGACAATACTGGATATCAATGACCAAGTAGCAAACACGGCTAGTACAAGAAATGCCTTAAACTGATTAACGCCAATGAAGAAACAAAACAATCACCAAAGTTGCTATTACAATGAATACCTCAACCAATGCATCAGCTAATATTATTGATTTATTTATTTAGAGGTACGTTTGAAGTAAATCAGCTGTTCACGGCTTCATCCAATCGGGAGCTTAAAAGTCGCTATAGCTACGTTCAAAGCTGTCGATTGGATGAAACCGTCTCCAGTTGATTTACTTGAAACGCACCTCTAAATAAATCCACGTATAAACAGCAATACTGGACTGCCTACGAAATTCGTACAAAATGACTTCGTGTAGCGGTAGTGAAGTGCAAACCCGCGCAGTGAACTGTCGTCGTGGGCGGCGGTTGCGCGTTCGACTCCCGACTGCACCCTCGGGGCACCTCCCGGCCGCAGCAACGGGCATTAACATCCGGCGAACGGAGAGGGAGACGGAGAAAGAGAAAGAACGACAGGCGCAGCAGATGCAACGACCTCCTCCGCCTGAGCGGGACGGGGGGGGGGGGACTCCCGGGAAACCGGCCGGCGAGGATCTTCTCGGGAGCGCGCGACGGAGGCGGCGGGAGGGGAGCCCCGAGGTATCCTAGAGGACGCGACTGGAACGTTAATGTGGAACCCGTACGAGGGCTGCACATCGTGAACACAAAGATTTTGTTGCTAGTCCATAACACGAACTGTACGTACTTTCCTGGCAGAGGGTTAAACGATGCACTTTACCATAAGCTGAGAAAGGGGGCGGGGCGCAGGGCTCCCAGTCAATCCCTGGC